AGAGCACAAAACCGTTCATTTTACTTAGTGGCAGGAAATGAGGACACTTGCTAGACTGGGGTTGGATAATCACGCACTGATCGGCCTGTAAGGGACATTTGCACTTTCGCTAGTTCCTTTTATTAATTCATGTAACTTAACAGTTCCCACTCCGATTTGTAAACTCCTGTAAAGGTGGGAAATGGTGCGACCGACAGGTTTCTTCCACAGAAATTAACAGGTTTCTACAAGGTGGCCTGTACAGACATAGCTGGAAGAAATTCGATGTCCCCACCAAGCCAAACTGGGCCAATATTCATAACAGAAAAATCAGGATTGAAAATTCCAATAGATAAAGCGGCGACTGAGCAGTAGTACAAAAAAGTAGATAACAATGTACTGAGCAGTAATTAACATAGCAGGGGTACATGACAGTTGTTAAGGGGCAGAGCATGAGCAAGGGAAGAGTGCAGAGAAAGGTCAGTGAAATGGATGAGCAATCAACGTTCCAGGTTTTGATGGTAGGCAGACAGAGCGGACGGGCAGCGATCAAGAACCGGCGACCGGTTCTTTATGTCGACGCGAGCGCCTAGCCGACAATGCAAACCAGGATTTTTCTAGCTGTCCCATCTAAGAGAACAGCAGTTGTGAGTAGTACTGGACGGCTGCCTAAGGGCAGTAAAAACGGAAGCAGTACTGAAGAATTCCATAAATGAACGAAATGGGAACCTATTTAAAACCGACTATTGTCTGAACAGAGAAAATCTGGCCTTAGCGGTGACTAGGCAACACTAGAGGGACGGACACGGAATTTGCACACAACCAGATTATAGAAAATTGATTATTGCGCTCACAGGAGTGCCGATCGATGGATCGACTTATGCACAAAAAGTTCCCGAGCTATGACCGAGGCCATGATGAGTGTCGTCGGCCTGATGAGTGTGACCTTTGAGCGACGGACTCATGCGAATGGGTGCCGCCCTTTAATTCCGTGGGATTGGTTTCACTGTTGCAGACATATAGCCTTTTATGGACCTCCAGTGTTTGCACACCTGTCCAGATGTGTATGCTGGTCGGAAGCTTGCCTTTCCGATCACGAATGATCACAGTCAGTGGCGTTGAAATCTTTACGCGGTGCGCCATGCACTCGTTTTCCACCAAATTCGCAAAGATGATTGACTAGCTATAGATTCTACCATATTGACTCTAAGTGATAATCAGAGAGGGTCTCCACCGTATTCACCGGTTGACATTTTCTTGCCGAGATCGGAGCATCGTTTAGGGTGGGCTAGATCTGATCGCGGATAATTGTCATGTAGAAGAGAGATATAGCTTTGTTATGTCCCAGAGCCGCAATTATGCTTCATTGCCCCGAGTTCTCAACAATCACAGGGTATTTGCGGCGGCGCTGCGGAGTCTGAATTCCTAAAGTTATCCATGAAATGCCGTTAGGATGACAGGAAAAGTCACCCTCGCGGCAGGACTCAAACCGCGCCTCCGCGCGACGGGTGCGGAGGGCCAGCCATTACGCACCAAGGGCCGCTCTTTCCCTCGTTGCTCAGTGGGTCCTTGTGTGCAGCGTCAAGAAGAGACTGCAGGACTAAAACTCCTTCCTCATTACTGGGGAGCGCCTGAAAGGGTATCGTTCCAATTCTCAGTTCGACCAATTGGGCCGAATTAACGGCGACGCTTCAGGAAAGGCTCTAGAGAGACTTTTTTTAAAGTAAAGCTGTAACCTAGTTGGCACGTTTCAGCTACTGAACGCGCGCTGTCCTCTTACCTACGTAGCCGATTCCCCTTACGTTTCGAGAAAATGGGGTGGAATATACGTAACTGCGGCCATGATGGCATAACTGACGGTTATACCAAAATATCAGGGTGTCCCAACAGATCCGTGGCGATGCCCAGTTGCGTTTGATGTTACGTAAATACACGAAGGGTAGCCGTGTAATCGCACATCACTGGCGATTACCGTAATCCCACGACTGTTTTATTCGCCTATGGAGCGCAGCCTACTGGTATGCTAACTGCTGCAAGCTACTGTATGCTGGTCATTAAGTGTCTTAACGGGGGTCTTTGTCATAATCCCTTCGAAGGGATCATTTTATACTCTTTTACCTTTGTACTACTGTCGGCACGGCTCCCCGTCACTTATCACTGAACCATTGACGAACTAAAGGGATGTAGAATTGCAAAGTTGGAAACGATTGAGTACGGATCAGTTTGAAGACTTGCAGAATTGCGGAAATAGATCAATGCGTAATTAGTCCTGTTTGTCACCCTGCAGTTCTTGGCACTATTTACCCCTTACTGCCGAAGTTGAGGCCACAATTCGTTTTCGATTCGTCTGAAAATACTGAAAGTTTGGCTTCCTGAACATGAACATTACATCCTTTAAGTCTGGCACCATCTAAGGCTGAAGCTTTCATACTATATGACAGCGTCCACCAGCGACCACTAGCATCTACCGCTCCTAGCAAACTCCAGCGCTCACCAGCGTCTGGGAGTGGAGACTATGGAGAAGTAGGAAGGTAGGATTAGGATTAGGCGTTGGGAGCGTATGCAGTTGTCACGGTGCGTCTGAACACCGCCAAGGTTCACGGACGTCTAATCCAGCTGTCTACTACCTTCCTACCTCCCCATACTCTTGACTCCTGGACGGTGGTGGACGATGGTAGACGCGGGCGTTCACTAGATCGGTATCTATACTGTCCTAGCCGGTGGCGCTCGCTCGAAACGCTGGTGGACGCTGTCGCAAAGTATGAACGCAGAGTAACGCATGCGCCACCAGCGACGGCTCCATATGTTTTTTTTCGACTCCAGTGAGTTTGGTGCCGAACGGTGTGCTAGGGCAGGTAAGGATACACGACGAGAAAAAGGAGCACCTTACTGGGTGCTCTGTTAGTGATCCTTTTCTTTACTAATTCAAGGGATCGCTGTCGTGTGGGAAGGAAGCTTCGACGCGACTTATAGCCCGCTTCGTTGCGCTTAGGAACAAGACATCCAAGCTGAAGACCACAGAAGACATTCAAGACCTGTAGAAGCTCACAAGATGAGGGAGCCGTCGCGATTTGTTCCATAACGCCCGATGCTACAATATTTAGGGAATACTCAAAATTTTGAATGCCTTCTTCAGTTGAATGTACGAAATGGAACGAAACTCATGTGAAGCTTTTCAAGATCAGCACAACGCAAAGATACCGACGCTCAAGATCTAAAAGCAATTGGTCCACGAGGACGCACACATACATTTCATCCGTTGCTTTAACTTTATACACCCATAACGACGATTAGGATCCCGCACGGTGCCGGTGAAACACCTGGTCAAGCAACCTGCAAACACCTATGCCTTGATTGATGGGTAGCAAATTCTTCCTTATCCATCCCAAATCCTTCGCGGTTTTTACGACAAATGATGTGGAGTGCCGTGCCGATAGTACAAAGTCAGAAGAAGCATTAAATGGTTTCTTTACAGCAATATGACGAAGAACTCCTCGTTAAGGCACGTAATAATGACCAATATAAAGCACCCTGTAGCGAATAAAAACAGGCGTAGGATTACGGTAATCACCATTTGGTACGCAATTACACGGCTACCCTTCGTGTATTTACGTAACATCGCCTGCGTTTCGCCCTGTCTTCTTAAACTTGTCACCATGTTCGGGAAACCAGCGATCTTTAGAAATTGGTAGGTAGTCGCTTGCACTAGCCTCATGAATCGATTATTATGTTATTATTATTATTATTATTATTATTATTATTATTATTATTATTATTATTATTATTATTATTATTATTATTATTATTATTATTATTATTATTATTAACTATTCATTACTAACTATTATTCTGATTTATTATTATTATATTTGTTATTATTACTATTATTATATTTATTACAACAGGAACCTGTTGTTGAGAAGCCAGGAATGCGCAATTCATTTATTAAGCATTAGTATGTACAAATACAGTGTCAACGATTGAAGAAGTCATTTGCCATATTTCTTTTATAATGGGAATTAAGAAACATATTGATAGTTATATTCATCGAATTTGAGTCGTATTTTGTTGAATAAGCGGCATTATGCATGCAATAACAAAATCAGTCAAATAAGTTGCAGGAATTAGGCATGCAGTGAAAAATACGACTTCCATCCAGCTCAGATCATTATTGTCTTCTGATGGCCTGAAATAGCATGACATTAGATGATTTCTGTAAAGTTGTGGGATTTTTCAGCGAGAACAATGTGGGACGAGTTCCTATCTCCTCCGAATGTGAAAGTATAGTCATGATCCCTGCGAACGGTAGAGCGTGTGAAGGGGCGTGAACTAGAGCGCAGCTAGAACAGCTCTTCCGGCCAGTCGTTGTGAAATCGTTCTCAGGATGACGTCATTGGTGGAAAATGTGGCCCTGGCAGCGCCCAGTTCACGCCCCTTCCTCTCGTTTGAAGGATCATGACTGTAAGCGAATTGCATAAGACCTTTTAAACGCTCTTCCTAGCGACGTGATCACGGCGTAAACTATCCAGTACTCCAACCAGAATCGTGCTCCATCAAGGCGTTCGTCGCTAAGGACCAATATCGTGCATACAGCAGGACAAAGTAGTACCTCAAATGGAGTTTTAAAAAACAAAGTTCATTTGTGTTATTCGTAGAAATGGACTGAATGACAACAGTATGCCGCTATTATTCAGCTATTCGCGAAAAATCGGTGAAGAAAAGAGGTTCAGTAAGGTTTATTGAA